ACAACTCAATGGAGCCACACTCCAATACAATGCTGAGTGTTTTCTTGCCTGGAGAAAAAAAAGAGGGATGATGAGTCGATCATTGATGCCTTATTCGTATTTTGTATATTTTCCAAAAGAATTTTCAAGTTGGGTCTGTGGAACACCTGAATATCTTTGGTAGCTGAAGCTAACATCCAGGACGGTCCCATTCATGCTTGATTTTAATTAAAATTTATTATTTAACCATTATTTCTCAATGGGGGAAAATCGCCTCTCTTTATCAAGGTTTTTCTGTGATTTAAACTAAATCACGTGGGCAGGTGATCCACTCTGGCTATACACTATCTGATAAAAATTTCACAGTACATCAAATATATATACAATCTACAATTTAAAAAAAATGACTTTTTGATTAAATAAATAGAACTAAAAATAATATATAAATTTAAAAAAAACAGTAATTATTATGATATATTATGATGTATTAGCGCGCCATCTGTTATGAAAATTCGAAACTATTATAGACGCGTAAGATTCTTTTACAAATTAAACAATTTCTACAGCCCTTACTGCAATGGAAAAATTTATGGGAGGCCCACCACTGATGAGCCAGGCCCTCCCATTAATTTTTCCATTGCAGTGAGGGCAGTAGAAATTGTTTAATTTGTAAAAGAATCTTACGCGTCTATAATAGTTTCTCGCATATTAAATATATATTATTGATCAATATAAACAAAAAATATATATATCAAGATAAAATATATTAGTGTAAATCACCGAAAACCCTTGATAAAGAGGCGATTTGCCCCCAGTAAGGACAGTAGAAGTTCGTTTTATGTATAAAAGAAACATTCGCGCTTTTAAATCCTTTTATTTTATATGTATAGATGGCGCGTTATTGCTTTGTGTTAATTTATTCCTAACTGGCCTTGTCTTTATAGTTTGCTGAAGAGCATTGCTCGAAGCAAATATTTGAATGTAATTCTACTGTCCTATAAGCTTATGTCCATAGTTTACTTGAAAACCATTTCTAAGATTCCATCCTTCAGTGTAGCATATAAAAGCAGAATGATCCAATACAGTATAAGAGCTCTGAGAAGCGGTCTGGTGGATTAAATTGGCGAAACCACTGGGAGGGTTCACCACTGATGAGCCAAGCCCTCCCAATATATTTTTTCATCGCAGTAAGGACAGTAGAAGTTCGTTTTATGTATAAAAGAAACATTCGCGCTTTTAAATCCTTTTATTTTATATAATAAATTTTGATTTTTAGATCCAATATATGCTAATTATTTATTTATATATATACACTGCGTGACACTGAATTTGCAACACCAAGAAATATGGGGCAGAAAACATTAAAATTTCAGAGTAAAGTTAGCTCACCGAGTAATGTAAATGGTGCAAATTTCGCAGCTATCCCACGCATGTTGATTGAGATATAAGAGAAGGAACTTGAAAATTTGCTTATATTCGCACCTCTCTGTCTGATAGGGAAAGTATTTTAAATTTTTGTTTTTTGACTCAGAGAAAGTGCTTAGTAGCAGAGAAAGGCAGGCCGCCGCAAGACGAGGCAGTTCCAGCAGACAGACGATTTCACGAGAGGTATAATGATTGGACTCGGAAGGGCCGGGTTGTCCATACATCAAATCTCTACGGATAGATACCTAGACGTGTCCACAGTGCACCGGCTATGGCGAAGCTGGTTGGAACAGGGAAATGTGGCATGATTGACGTCAAGCACAGGACCGACGCATCCGCCCCACAGTTCATTTCTGTTGCCAATTTGAAGGATATGCAGGACACTCTTGATTCTAACCATCTCGACCAGAATCATTATACACAGGTTTGTCGACGGCGGCCTACACTCATGTCATCCGTTAAAAATACTCTCATTTGTCCAACGGCACGGATACCCCCGTTTGTAATTTTGTCGGGATAGAGCCACATGAACAGCGGAATGGTACAAGATAGTGGTCATATATGAATCTCGCTTTTGTTTTAGCAATGACAGTCACTGAGTAAGATTTTGGTGCCGTCTTGGTGACAGGTCCAATCCGGCCGCATCTGTGGAACGCCGCACCTCACGACAACGCGGCATTATAGTTTGGGGAACCATCGCCTATGATAGCAGATAACCTCTAATTCGTATTGAGATCCCTATGATGGCCC